TCTAAGGCTTCAAGTTCTTGCAGACGTCGTTGATGCTTTTCTTCTTCTGTTAGTCCAGTTGTGATAGCGACTCTCAGAGAAGGGATCTGGATTTCCAATGGCAATACAGCCTCACAGCCGTATACCAACGAAAAAGGTGTGGCTCTTGTAGAGGTCCTTACCGTAGTGCGATAAGCCCAAAGACATTCACCCAGTCTTTCATCCCAATCGCGCCGGCTTTTAGAAACAAACTTTTTGAGAAGCTTCACTATGGTTTTGTTAAAAGCTTCTGCAAGACCATTTGCTGGTGGATAATATGCCGTGGATGCAACACTTTGGATTCTAAATTTATCACAGAATCTCTGAAACCCAAGGCCGACGAATTGTGTCCCATTGTCGTGAACTATTCGCCTCGGGACTCCAAAACGGTAGACAACATGATGCTTGATGAACTTGATTACGTTTGAAGTCTTGACTTCTTTTAACGGGATTGCATCCGCTCATTTGGAGAAATAGTCGGTTACGGCTAAAATGAACCGGTGTCCCTTGGACGTCGGAGGGGAAATCGGTCCGACGATATCCATACCCCACATTTCGAATGGCCAAGTCGCTGATGTGGGGTGTAAATTTCCTGGCGCCTGGTGGATGAAATCCCCATGAATTTGGCACGCGTGACAACGTTTAGCATAGTCAACCGCGTCTGAAAACATCTTCGGCCAATAATAGCCGATGCGTCGGAGGCGATCTCCTAATTTAGCTCCAGGCTGATGAGCTCCGCACATTCCGCCGTGAGCTTCCTTGAGGGCCTCTTTTGCTTCCTTCCGAGAGAGGCATCGAAGCAAAACTCCATCATACGATTTACGATACAGGACTTGAGAGACTGCGTCGTAATAGAATCGGAGGGCCTTTCGTTTGATAGAGGCCGCTTCCTTAGGATCTTCTGGCAGAATTCCATATACGGCATAGTTGATGTACGAGAATCGCCAATCCCTGGATTCAAACTCTATAGAGGTTGTACAGACTTCTCCTGACGGTGTCTCGTCTGAGTTTTCTTCTGTAGGAATTTTAGAAAAGTATAGTTTCCGTCCCGCGACTGGAATCGTTGTTTCAGTCTTCGGTGGCAATGCTAATGAGGTTGCCAAGGAGGCTAGAGCATCTGCATAAGCATTCTGAGCTCGTGGTATATATTCGATGAAGAAACCTTCGAACTTTTGAGCTTTTGAGCTTGCTCTAGCACTGCGAGGTAGTACGGGATCAAATCCTCATGACGAACTTCGTATTCTCCTCGGACCTGATTAACGATGAGTTGGGAGTCACCGTAAGCCTTAAGGTGTCGAACATTGAGTTCTTCAGCAAATTGTATTCCTAATAGCAGAGCATTATACTCGGCTACGTTGTTAGTGCAAGGTTCGATTAAGGAGAATCCTCTGGGAATTACATGGCTGTTCGGAGAGATTAATACTACTCCTACTCCCGCGGTGATTGCTCCATGAGGATTTGCTCTGGATGCACCATCGAAGAATAACTTCCACACTTGCGTAGCTTCTTGAGTAGCGCAAGCTTCGGCGACTTCGTCCGATGTTCGGCTCCCATCATAGTCCTGCTCAGGTAATAGATGGCTTGCTCTTGACCTTGATCATTGTTCTGAGCTAACAAAGCACCAAGAGAATGATCCATGGCCCTCACATATAACAGGAATGGTTTTCCTGATATTGGGGCCACGAGAACTGGCGGTTGAGTTAAATATCTTTTAATCTCTTCGAATGCTCTTTGACACTCTGCATCCCAAACAAAGGATATTCCTTTCTTCATGAGCTTAGAGAAAGGTTGGCAGCGCCCTGAAAGATTTGATATGAATCTTCGAATGTAGGCCAGTCTGCCTTGCAAACCTCTGAGCTCTTTGAGATTCTTCGGAGGTGGCATGTCTTGGATGGCACGCACTTTTTCTGGGTCAAGAGAGATTCCCTTGGAGGTAACGATAAATCCCAAGAATTTTCCACTTGAAACTCCGAGAAATGATTTTGTCGGATTCATCTTCAGCTGATGTGCTCGCATGATTTCGAACATTGTCTTCAGATCTGCAAGATGATCATCTTTGCATTGGCTCTTTACCGCTATGTCATCAACGTAGCACTCGATCTTCTTTCGTAAGTATTCATGGAAGATGGTGTTCATTGCACGTTGATAAGTTGCACTTGCATTCTTCAGACCGAAGGGCATCACTGTGTAGCAATATACCCCCAGCGGTGTTCTAAAAGCAGTATGCTTTTCGTCGTCCAGGTACATCTTGATCTGATTGTACCCGGAGAACCCGTCCATAAAGAACATCCTTTCATATCCGCAGGTGTTGTCAATCATAACATCCGTGATGGGGAGTGGGAATTCATCTTTCGGACAGGCGGCATTGAGATCGCGGAAATCGATACATATCCGGACTTTACCGTTCTTCTTAGGAACTGGGACGATGTTGGCCACCCAGTCAGGGTGTTGTTCTTCCCTAACAAAACCTGAGTCTATAAGCTTTTTAACTTCTGACTCAATTGATTCCATGATCTCTGGACGAAACCTGCGTTGTTGTTGTTTAACGGGTTTTACATCCGGATCGATGTTGAGACGGTGCATGGCCACCTTCGGGTCAAGACCAGGCATATCTTCATAATTCCAAGCGAAGACATCTATATATTCTCGGATGAGAGATATAAGGTCTTCCTTCTCGGATGATGATAGGTCTTCAGCTATAAAGATAGGGTTAAGATCGCGGAAATCAATGCATATCCGGACCTTACCGTTTTTCTTGGGAACTGGAACAATGTTGGCCACCCAGTCTGGGTGCTGCTCTTCCCTAACAAAACCTGAGTCTATAAGCTTTTTAACTTCTGACTCAATTGATTCCATGATCTCTGGACGAAACCTGCGTTGTTGTTGTTTAACGGGTTTTGCGTCCGGATCAATGTTGAGACGGTGCATGGCAACCTTCGGGTCAAGGCCAGGCATATCTTTATAGTTCCAAGCGAAGACATCTAGATATTCTCGGATGAGAGATATAAGGTCCTCTTTTTCGGATGATGACAAGTCTTCAGCTATGAATATGGGCTTAGGATCATGTTCATCTCCCATGTTGACCTGGATCACTTTATCTTCAGTGGGTGGTTCGCATTGTTCGAATCGCATATCCCACAAGATATTGAGGCGTTTGATCCAAGAATCATTGGTCGATTCCATCAACTCCTCGTCACCCCCTGCGTCTTCATCTGGATGACTAGTTGAAACCATGTTCACAGACAGGTTTTTAAAGAAAGGTCCAACACTGATGTCGGACTCGTATGAAGATGTTCCAGATGAATGGTCGTGACGCAGGTAATTACTGGTTTCGTTTTCCGAAGCAGGGGGAGGTGTAACGTAACCCACTCCTCTTCCGGTTTTTTGATAATAATCCGGAGGTTTTCCTTCAGGAGTGAGAGACATCCGGATCGGGTTCGTCTTCCTTTCCTGAAGTTCAAGCCCTGTTTCTCATTAAAATTATACCCCATTTGTTTCATTAAGTATATAGAATTGGGTTCATGGTAATGGAATTGGGGAACTCCGTCGTCTTCCTCTGAACTTGCTCGTTTGAGTTGTTCGGGTTTGACTTTACCAAAACAGATCGGCTTCTGCCCTTTCCTTTTGGATGGGACTTTGAAGAAAGCCTTCTGTGCGTCCTCCACTTCTTCATCTGAAGCGAAGGATGACCGGATTGGCAAGGTGAGTGACGCCTCTGTGCACAGTATGTGCCATGGGTTGGTACCTGCACTAGAATCATTCTCTATTTGTTCATTTTTAGGAGAGACATCAGACAAGTACGCTAAAATAAAATCTTCATTAATGCCCCACTCGCCCTCACTTGGTGTAGGCTGTCTAAAAATCACAATAGATAGCTTATTCAAACAAGCTCCGACAACGGAGGTCACAATCAGACGACTTCCCAATCACTGCATCCGCAACTCCACAATCGCCACAAATGCGACCTCACTTCTGAGATGATTGATCTTGATGGCTGTGACAACAGCATGGCTAATATCATAACAACTATTAGAGATGCTGATGAGCAGTGGGACGATTTCAGAAATAAAAGGTTGGACTCAGTTGGTGAGTTGCTTGGTAGAGAGCTGTGGGCAAATATTCATCTTTAAGACACTATGGATGTTGATTCCCGTCTAGCTCCTACAACGAAAGCTACAATCAAATAGTTTTCGGGTCGGTGAACGAAAGTTGCGAATGGAGGGCTTTTCACATAGATCGAGAAGAGTTACAATTCAACGACACTCCTGATGGATTGATGAAAATTCTATGCAGCAGTCTTCACAATCTACAGTGAAAGTTACAATCTGACGGCTTTCACACCCCACAACAGCTAAAGCTAGGATTATTGAACAACGGTCCTTGCAACGCTCTACAGAAGAAGTTACAAGTCAAATGGCTCCTTCTAAAACGTGGATGTCATCCCCGCGTCACCAATTTGGAAATGACAGCGACCCTCGCGTCAACAAGGCACAAGCCAAACGTGAGCGACCCTCGCGTTTAATGGTGTTCAACCAACAGTGACCCTCGCGTCATCAAGGCACAAGCCAAACGTGAGCGACCCTCGCGTTCAATGGTGTTCAACCAACAGCGACCCTCGCGTCGACAATGCACAAGCCAAACGTGAGCGACCCTCGCGTTCAATGGTGTTCAACCAACAGCGACCCTCGCGTCGACAATGCACAAGCCAAACGCGAGCGACCCTCGCGTTCAATGGTGTTCAGCTAACACCCAACTTCGCGTCTCAATTCAAAGAACACGAAGTTGAGTTCTAAACGCCAGAATGGGCGTTTGACTTATTCAAACATAAGTCGAACGGTTCCAAAACCGTTTATCCCACGTTCTGAGGGATTTTCGCCCACGTAGGAGCGGATATAGGAGTCAGTTACAATCTCCTATCCCCCTATAAAAACTCAACGAACTCAACTGAGTTAAGGGGTTGATTGGATTTTCTCTGGGCTCAGATCAGAGGCTATTGGCTGGCTCGTTGAAAACCACTCTGGCTTGGAGATTCAGCAGCAACGAAATCCTTAGAGATAGGATTTTTGAATCAAACTCAGAAGATCAAATCTGAGAGGATTCTTCGACAACAGAAAAACAGCTTGATCTTTAACCGAATTTTCGGTTCCAACAACTCTATTCACAGAGTTCAAACTCGTTCAGAGTTCTTAAACTCATTCAGAGTTATTCATAAAACTTTCCACGAAAGTTCATCGTTCCCACGAGATAAAGACGGTCGGATCGTCAACGGAGAGCAAGTTCGACGCAATCAATCGAAGGAAGCACTCCATCGCTGCCAAGAAGAACCCAGTTTTAAACAAAGGGGAAAACCAAATTCGTTTTCCTCTCTTTTGTAATCAAATTGTAACCGAGATCAAAGGAATCAAAGTCAAATTTTCTTTATTCTCTTCTTTGCAATTTTCCTTATATACAAAAGATGGCGACTCCGCTGGGGACTAGCTTTTCCGACGATGAAGTGGTGGCTCAGTCCGACGTCCACCTCATGGGAACGACTGTAGAAACTCTCGTCGTAGAGTTTGATCAAGCGAAATACGAGGAAGCCTTATCCTCTGGATCGCTTAGCCCCAAGGCTAAGCATGGTGTCCGCAAGATCTCCAAGGAGATTAATTCTGTTGTTGAAGAGCCGAAGAAAGCCCTCTCCTTCGGCCAGGAACTCAAACTGGCTCTGATGGCGGAAGATCCCACCTCCGCGTCAGCAAGACGTGCTTCAGGCCACAAACGGCCTCTGGAGGAGACGAGTCTTGTAAACGTCAATGACGTTGCTGCAAAGGCTTTAAAACAAGCCAAGAAGAACGCCACTCGCCGACGGAGAAGATCCATCCGACGAGCACACTTACGAGAAAGCCGATTGTTGGCCCATCGCGAAGATCGCGTTTCTAAAGATCCAACCGAACCTGGCGTTCCCAAAGAAGAGCGCTCACTGCGTGGCAATGAGCCCAACTATGAGCCTAGGCTGATACAGCTCAAACGCGACCCTGAGTGGCGCGTTGTTCATTCAAAACGCAGCCCTCAGAAGGGAGCTGTCAAAACCAAACGCGACCCTCAAGGTCGCGTTCCAATTGAAAATGACTTTCAGAAGTCAGTTTCACAAACCAAACGCGACCCTCAGAGGCGCGTTCCAATTGGACATGACTCTCAGAAGTCAGTTTCACAAATTAAACGCGACCCTCAGGTGCGCGTTCAAATGAAGCATGACTCTCAGAAGTCTGTTTCACCAACCAAACGCGACCCTCAGGGGCACGTTCAACCAAAACTTGACCCTCAGAGGTCAGGTTCATCATTTAAACGCAGGCCTCGGCCTGGCGTTTA